TCTCCCCCTGAGGGCGGGGAAGTTCCTGTCTACCCCTGAGGGCGGGGAAGTTCCTGTCTCCCCCTGAGGGCGGGGAAGTTCCTGTCTACCCCTGAGGGCGGGGAAGTTCCTGTCTCCCCCTGAGGGCGGGGAAGTTCCTGTCTCCCCCTGTGGGCGGGGAAGTTCCTGTCTACCCCTGAGGGCGGGGAAGTTCCTGTCTCCCCCTGAGGGCGGGGAAGTTCCTGTCTACCCCTGAGGGCGGGGAAGTTCCTGTCTCTCCCTGAGGGCGGGGAAGTTCCAGTCTCCCTGAGGACGGGGAAGTTCCTGTCTCCCTGAGGGCGGGGAAGTTCCTGTCTCTCCCTGAGGGCGGGGAAGTTCCTGTCTCCCCCTGTGGGCGGGGAAGTTCCTGTCTCCCCCTGAGGGCGGGGAAGTTCCTGTCTCCCCCTGTGGGCGGGGAAGTTCCTGTCTCCCCCTGTGGGCGGGGAAGTTCCTGTCTCCCCCTGAGGGCGGGGAAGTTCCTGTCTCCCTGAGGGCGGGGAAGTTCCTGTCTCCCCCTGTGGGCGGGGAAGTTCCTGTCTACCCCTGAGGGCGGGGAAGTTCCTGTCTCCCCCTGAGGGCGGGGAAGTTCCTGTCTACCCCTGAGGGCGGGGAAGTTCCTGTCTCCCCCTGTGGGCGGGGAAGTTCCTGTCTCCCTGAGGGCGGGGAAGTTCCTGTCTCCCTGAGGGCGGGGAAGTTCCTGTCTCCCCCTGAGGGCGGGGAAGTTCCTGTCTCCCCCTGTGGGCGGGGAAGTTCCTGTCTCCCCCTGAGGGCGGGGAAGTTCCTGTCTCCCCCTGTGGGCGGGGAAGTTCCTGTCTCCCCCTGTGGGCGGGGAGTTCCTGTCTCCCCCTGAGGGCGTGGAAGTTCCTGTCTCCCCCTGTGGGCGGGGAAGTTCCTGTCTCCCCCTGAGGGCGGGGAAGTTCCTGTCTCCCCCTGTGGCGGGGAAGTTCCTGTCTACCCCTGAGGGCGGGGAAGTTCCTGTCTCCCCCTGAGGGCGGGAAGTTCCTGTCTCCCCCTGAGGGCGGGGAAGTTCCTGTCTCCCCCTGAGGCGGGGAAGTTCCTGTCTACCCTGAGGGCGGGGAAGTTCCAGTCTCCCTGAGGGCGGGGAAGTTCCTGTCTCCCCCTGAGGGCGGGGAAGTTCCTGTCTCCCCTGAGGGCGGGGAAGTTCCTGTCTCCCCCTGAGGGCGGGGAAGTTCCTGTCTCCCTGAGGGCGGGGAAGTTCCTGTCTCCCTGAGGACGGGGAAGTTCCTGTCTCCCTGAGGGCGGGGAAGTTCCCGTCTCCCTGAGGGCGGGGAAGTTCCCGTCTCCCTGAGGGCGGGGAAGTTCCAGTCTCCCTGAGGGCGGGGAAGTTCCTGTCTCCCCCTGAGGGCGGGGAAGTTCCTGTCTCCCTGAGGGCGGGGAAGTTCCTGTCTCCCCTGAGGGCGGGGAAGTTCCTGTCTCCCCCTGAGGGCGGGGAAGTTCCCGTCTCCTTGAGGGCGGGGAAGTTCCTGTCTCCCCCTGAGGGCGGGGAAGTTCCTGTCTCCCTGAGGGCGGGGAAGTTCCTGTCTCCCCCTGAGGGCGGGGAAGTTCCTGTCTCCCTGAGGGCGGGGAAGTTCCTGTCTCCCTGAGGGCGGGGAAGTTCCTGTCTCTCCCTGAGGGCGGGGAAGTTCCTGTCTCCCTGAGGACGGGGAAGTTCCTGTCTCCCCTGAGGGCGGGAAGTTCCCGTCTCCTGAGGGCGGGGAAGTTCCTGTCACCCCCCCTGAGGGCGGGGAAGTTTCCCGTCTCCCTGAGGGCGGGGAAGTTCCCGTCTCCCTGAGGGCGGGGAAGTTCCAGTCTCCCTGAGGGCGGGGAAGTTCCTGTCTCCCCCTGAGGGCGGGGAAGTTCCTGTCTCCCTGAGGGCGGGGAAGTTCCTGTCTCTCCCTGAGGGCGGGGAAGTTCCTGTCTCCCTGAGGGCGGGGAAGTTCCCGTCTCCCTGAGGGCGGGGAAGTTCCCGTCTCCCTGAGGGCGGGGAAGTTCCCGTCACCCTGAGGGCGGGGAAGTTCCCGTCTCCCTGAGGGCGGGGAAATTCGTGTCTCCCCTGAGGGCGGGGAAGTTCCTGTCTCCCCCTGAGGGCGGAGAAGTTCCTGTCTCCCCCTGAGGGCGGGGAAGTTCCTGTCTCCCCCTGAGGGCGGGGAAGTTCCTGTCTCCCCCTAAGGGCGGGGAAGTTCCTGTCTCCCCCTGAGGGCGGGGAAGTTCCTGTCTCCCCCTGAGGGCGGGGAAGTTCCTGTCTCCCTGAGCGCGGGGAAGTTCCCGTCTCCCTGAGGGCGGGGAAGTTCCCGTCTCCCTGAGGGCGGGGAAGTTCCTGTCTCCCTGAGGGCGGGGGAAGTTTCCGTCTCCCTGAGGGCGGGGAAGTTCCCGTCTCCCTGAGGGCGGGGAAGTTCCTGTCTCCCTGAGCGCGGGGAAGTTCCCGTCTCCCTGAGGGCGGGGAAGTTCCTGTCTCCCTGAGCGCGGGGAAGTTCCCGTCTCC